CCACCCATCTTATACCACAACATTGTAATGTAAGCACCAGGATCTTGACAGCCACCCATCTTATACCACAACATTGTAATGTAAGCACCGGGATCTTGACAGCCACCCATCTTATACCACAACATTGTGATATAAGCACCAGGATCTTGACAGCCACCCATCTTATAACACAACATTGTAATGTAAGCACCAGGATCTTGACAGCCACCCATCTTATTACACAACATTGTAATGTAAGCACCAGGATCTTGACAGCCACCCATCTTATACCACACCATTGCAATGTAAGCACCAGGATCTTGACAGCCACCCATGTTATATCACAGCATTGTAATGTAAGCACCAGGATCTTGACAGCTACCCTGAGGGTTTTTTTTAATTCATTGTTGTGAATATCGATTGCAGTGTTTATTTTTAACAGTTTTTGATCAGGTAAAAAATAGATATCGCTAAATACTCTTTTCAATCGAAAATACGTTGTATGTGTATCAAAATTGATATCCCGTATACATATCTCCCTCTGTTTTGTATTGTCATTAATTTACGTCAACATGTGCAGATATATTACATTCATTACACTTCTTTTTCTCAAATTTAATTTTTGTAAGTTAGAATTAAAACAAATGTACATGATACTTACTTTAAACAATTGGTTTAATTGACAAAATAGCAGTTTCGTGCCTCCTGGTTTGTTAACATCTACACGATCTAGGGAACAAAGGGAACGCGAAAGAGTGCGCGTGAAAACCGAAACTCTACACCACGTGGTGCTGTGACCACCTAACATAGTCAATTGACTATGCAGGTAGTCATAATGACTTGATTGGTAGTCATATATGCTGTTGACTACCTTTCTGCTAATATTTGACTAACTGAATAGTCATAGTGACTAATTTAAATTTTCAGTGTATAATTGTATAGTTTGATCAGTATTTAATTATGTCTTTTTGTTAGTACTGCACGGATATTTCTTTGGCGGTATTGCAGGTGGGGTTCTATAGTCATATACAAGTCCGATACTTGTAAAGTATATATCGAGGTGCTCACAGTAACTTATAAGTACAACACGTTCTGCATAGAATATCATTTACGTTACAAAATGTATATTATATTGATTTAGTGTAGAATAGCTAGACGTGTGTTTGTTTAGAGATTTTTGTAAAGTTTTTTGTTATCTGTACTTAATGTTGCATCGTACAGAAACTAATAAATTACTGGCAAGCAAACCAAGCCTACATTTTGACTTGCCTCTTATTTAGCCATGTAGATAGATTAGAAAAAGTTTTAAATTCGGACGAATTTATGAGGGAGAATTGAAATTGGCAACTATACCACATCTCTTTATTTTTGACTATTTAACCGAAGTTAAGGTAGATAGTATATACAATAAAGGATAACATTTAGTTTGAGTTGTGGATTGTTGCAGCTGAGGGTTACTGTTAATGATGTAGAAAGTAAAAGGAGAAAAACAAGTGTAAGTCTAGAACAAATACTCAGTCAAAGTGATAATAATCAAGAATCTGGTTATTGTGCAATTCGTGAATACATATTGTATGCTTTTTACTTGGTTACCTTAACTTATTGTTTTTCGAAAGAAATGTATCTATCTTTAAACAATTTTCAATTGAGAAGTGCCATATGTAAAATCAGAATCAGTGCACATGATCTCAAAATAGAAAGAGACAGGTATAAAACTTTATATACTTTATTTATGTAATAAAATTTTAGATGCAGGAAACATTAATTGTTGGTATTCATCTATGAGATATGTCCTTCAATCACTTGATATACAAAATTTGAATACAAAGCTCAATAGATTAATTAAATTTGTAAAATGTAAACTTTGTAACAGTTTTAAAACATTTTGGGGGGTCAAAAGATCTGATACCTTATCACAAGGTAATAGTAAATTAGAAAATTATTTCAACCTCAAGACTGACTTCGTAAAGGAGGCTTATTTATCAATTAAAGATTTTAATATAAGAAGAGCTATATGTAAATTGAGAATAAGTGCACATGATCTTAAAATTGAGAAAGATAGGTATAGTAAAAAATACATAGAGAGAAGTCAGCGTCTATGTCATCACTGCCTATCACATGGATCAAATTCTATTGAAGATGAGACCCATTTCATAGTAAGTTGTCCTTTATATAACGAACAGAGAAAATTATTATGGGATAAAGTAAACAGTTTTTGTAATAATTTTAAAGAATTACCCAAGGATAAAAAATATTTCTGGCTGTTCACAAATGAGCATTTACCAACTCTTATGTGCCTAGGCAATTATATAATTAAGTGTTTAGAAATAAGATCCAGGTGGATACAAAATATATAAAATTATTATGCAATTATTGTTAATGTTATGTAAGACACATGATGTGTTAGGCTCTGATCCTGTCCAATATATGATAGTATTATATTAGGATATAGTTTTTCTTTTTTCCAATCATATTGTGCTTAATATTGTTGTAAATGATGCCCTTTATGGGTTCTTGATTAGATTAATAAAATTCTTATCTTATAGAAAGAGACCAAAGGCTTTGTAAGAAATGTACTCCAAATCTGGTTGAAGATGAACAACATTTTATTACTAGTTGTCCAGCATATAATAATGATAGGGAGATATTTTTCAAGGAGATAAACTGTATCTGTCCCAATTTTATATATCTTTCAAATGAGGCAAAATTTGTTTGGTTATTTACTAATGAAAATTTGTCTATACTTAAATATTTAGGGAGTTATATTATTACATGTCTAGATGTCAGACGAAATGTTAATTAATGTATGTAATAACAATGATAATTGTAATGATTTTATAGTTCTGATCCTGCCTGGAATTAAATGTATGTGATTTTTTATAGAATGATGATAATAACATCTGTCTGAACTTTTTAATGTTTCATTTTAATATATAAAAATGTTTTTCTGTTACAAATCATGATGTATTGTTTTATGTGTACATGTTATGCTGCCCATCAAGGGCCCTTGATTGGAATAATAAATATTCTTATTCTATTCTTATTTTATTGTTTTGTTATTTAGGAATTTGGTATTAATTGTAGATTTTTGATAATCTCGGTATAGATGATTAACATTTGTTCTTACGCTGAAGACCGTTTTTGGACATCTATATATGAACAAAAGGAGATGTGGGGTATTCATCAATGAGACAGCAACCCGACACAAATAACATAAGGGTCTCGGTAGAAAACAGGTGTAAGAAGTTCATCTACAGCGATCACTACCCTGTCAACACTGATGTTGTGAGTTCGAACCCCGCTAATGTCAAGGTGTGTTCGACTTTAATCTTACTTGACAATCCTGTTATCTTTACCTCGATTGTGACATCACCGAATGAAACTTGTAACCAAATTTGTACTTACATGTGCAACATGACAGGTGCCACACGTGGAGCAAGATCTGCTGTTTACTTTTTCGGATTTATTTATCTGAGATCACTCCGTTTTTGTTGGGTTCGTGTCAATCAGTCTTTAGTTCTTCAATGTAGTGTTATGTAGCGTGGTGATCTTCTTTTCGTCGTTTTTCGTATTTTGCCATGGTTTTATCGGTCTCTTTTCAAATTATGAGCTTTGATTCTCCTTGGTTGTAGTCCGTGTCTTTTTGTGTGTGATCAGGGATTTCGTATCTTTTTGTGTGTAATCAGGAATTTCGTATCTTTTTGTGTGTAATCAGGGATTTCGTATCTTTTTGTGTGTGTAATCAGAGATTTTGTATTCAAAGGGTAAAAAATTGCCTTATCATACCTTCTCCTTTACAATTTCAAGTATGATGATGTTTTACATGTTAAAGATACATCAATATATTACTTGAATTATTAAAAAAAAACAACATTGTTTGTAGATATAAGAAGATGTGCTTACTTACTAGTGCATTGTATCGGAAGTATATTTAGTCTATTATAACCAAAACTGTCAAATCTAAGGAGTGGGATTTGTCGTAGATATAAGCAAAACAACATTATTACGATAAATAACCATTCGAGTTTCAGGGACTCTTTAGAATTATGAATCGTCATTACATGTATGAAAGGAAGAACTCGCACAAAACAGTATGGTCTTATTTTTGTATTTTAATTGAGTAGTAAAATCGTTTTCCGAAGCACTTTTCATATGAAGCGCGGAAGCGGTACTAAATACGTGCGCACAAATCAACGCACCTTACATTACAAAAACATGCATTTCATTATTATAATTATATTTTAATGCTGTAACCATAAATGAAATTAACACTAAATCAATTTCGTGCGTCAAAAGTACTTTTCAGGGTTCATTTTCAGCAGAAACGCTCAAACAAAAAATGTGAAAACCAGAAATGATAAGTACTTAAAAACACGACAAGAGCTAGTTATATAACCAAAAGAAAAAGAGAATATGCCCAATATATTAGTACGTTAAACGCATTAGAAAAATCGTTTCAAAGAACAAAAAACCCATTTCATTTTCGTTGTTTTTTAAAAGGGAAAGATCGAGAGAAATAAATACAAAAGTCTACTGGAAGATCAAGTCACACGAATATGACCAGAGCGGATATATCTTTTTAACATTTTTTTTTCATCCAAGACATCTGATCTGGGGAGAAATATTTTGAACACGTAAAGCGAGACAACTCTGATACAAAAGCATGGTTAAGAAATCCGATTATTTGTTAGCATACTGTTCCCGTTTCTCCAAAGACCTGACATTAAGTCTTTGAGATCATATGTTGAGTCGGAATAACTTCTGAAATATTTGCCACTGCCATAATGTTACATTGGAAGATAATTAATACGTGTTTCATTAGCACATCTGTGCAGCATGTTTGGCACTTAGTTGTTGTTTTGTTATTGGTTGTTTTTGTGCCTTATATACCTGCACTAATGGATTGGTTGTTGGATTGTACCTTACTGAACGTTATCAACGTGTGTTTTTGCCTTCTCTAGAGGGCTCACTACAGGACCACGATAATTTTCTTCTTTGTATAATGAAAGATAACTCTGACAATCATTGAAAAGCATTTATTATTACAAGTATTAATGTCGATCAATTATCACTGTAAACGTCCCCCAATGCATATAAAAAAAAAGAGCACATATGTCATGCATATTGATTCAATGCTTATGTTTGTCCTGACGTTCACATGTATATTGATTAATGCTTATGTTTGTCCTGACGTTCACATGTATATTGATTTATGGTCATATTTGTCCTGACGTTCACGTGTATATTGACTAATGCTTATGTTTGTCCTCGTGTTTATGTTCCGCCGTAGGGTTCTGGTGAGGTTTATGTCGACATATTATGACTGGTATGTCGGCATGGTGCATTATATACTCGCTATTGCTCCCCATTATAGTACGTCGCACAGTGCCATGACCCCTAGCACCACACACTATCATTGCAGCGTTTCTTTCATGGGCTACTTTGATTGCATTTTCACCGACTTTTCCAGCAATAATATAAACTTCTCCTTTCATCTGAAATAATTTAAAAAAAACGATCATTTATTTTTTTCTGATCGCTTTAGTAGATAAAAGGTTTTCCTTTAGATCTCATGTTAACAATTTATTAACAATGTATATAAAAGGGAATGGAGTGAATTCATATTAAAAAACAACACAATTTAGGCATTAATGAAGATAATCTTGGTCAACATTTTTTCATTTTCATTTGAGTGAATGGAACAACTAATAACAATTGAATGAATCTTTTGGCAATATACTCTATATCGCCCTCTGTTTAGTTTCGATTGTGATATATGTATTTATTATACAGTACTTACGGACAATAATAATGAGGCAAATATAGGATATAAATTATCTGCATCCACATATGAAATTTGAATTTTTAATCATATATTTTGAAGATTGTTTTTCATTTATCACATAATTCATACGAACTATAATTGTTCTAGAGCTACAGTTGCAACCCGAAGACAAAGTCGACCATACACTGCTTTGTTCGTTCTGATTAGGTTCTTCTGGATTTACTGCTCCTGAACATTTTTATGTAGTTGGCTTTACAATCGGATTAAAATTCAGACCTATATCAACTCGTATGCTCGTACTCATATATGAGTATAACGAAATCAGAGAACTATGTTTTAATTAGATTGACTGGCTTTATAACTTTGAGGCGCGTGCTTTCACGTGACGTGTTCACTGAAATCGTTATTATAAAATGTCGCTCTTAAGTTTTCTTCAGATGTAAGGTGAACTATGATAATAATTAATATTTGCTACTTACACCTTCGTTAGCTAACTTTTTCTTAAGGTCTTCGGCATGCTCTTTGTGTGAATCAATATCTCTTTGGAGTTGCGAAGCTAACTCGGCAGAATCAGCTGTCCCGAATGCTACAGAAAAATAAGAAATAGAAATGAAAACAAATAATACCAAGGTCTGTAGTAGGGAGATATTAATGTTAAATCAGTCGTAGAGACGATGAATTTAAGATAGAACACACGTTTAAAATGGGACCATAACATATATAAAAAAAAGGGGGGGGGGGGGGTATGATAGGCGAAATTATTTGGCCCCTGAAATTGCAAATGTGGTCAAAATTCTTCAATTCTTTCAAAATTGTTATTTTACTTGATTAATCAATGGAATGATATAACACATCAGTTTTAATGTCACTATGACATCATAATAATGTTGAAGATGAAGTATCAGACCTAAAATGGACATTTGGTGACATTAGTAATTTGGTCAAGGCCTTGCCAAAAACGTGTTTCACCTGCTTTAGGTAGCAATACACAGGAGTATGGTTTTGGCTAGGTGAATTTTTAAATTAGGATAGTTATTGTGTAATAAATTTCATTTTTAGACAGCTGAAGACTAATCAAGCCTTGAAAGTGTGTTAATGAACATCAAAATTTGTTTTTTTATATGTTTTATGGGATATTTTCTGTTTGATAGTCCGTATTTTCATATCCAGACCGCCCATGGGACCAGAAATTATTGTAGTGTTTTCCAACAAATATTTTACGCCTGAACTTTTCAATTCAATTTTATGGAAAAATGAGGTTAAATGTATATGATTTTTATTTGACCTCTTAATAGATAAATGGCAATGGTTTCAGAAAAGGTACCACTCAAATGAATTCAAATTCTACTTTGGACCAAGTTTTAGGGACTTTTGTGACATTTTCACTCTCTTTTTTGCAATATTAAGTACTAGTATCAGATAAATGCAGATTGTTGCCATGGTTACATCAAAAAGAGATTATATTTTACCATTTTAACTATTGGAAATCAAATCTATGGAAAGCAAGAGAAAGAGGGTGGTTAAAAATTATGAGTGTCAGCTTTATGGTTTTTTCCTAACTGTGTAATGCTACCTTGACATCTTTGTATGAGACATCATGTACCAAAGTATCTTTTTGGATAAGGTTTTAGCTCATATCTAAATGACTAGATCTCAAAATCAGCAGACTTTGTCAGCTTTTACGGTTTTGTAATAAATGAAATACTGTCATCTTACAAACAAAATAATGTTTAATGAACATCTGAAGGATGTTTAACGATAGATTTATAATAGTTTGCGATTTTTTAATTCAAGGGATCAACCTACTAACTTAAACAAAAACAAATGGCGCTCTTGAGAAGTTATCATTTTCTGCTACACGAATACATGCGGTGTATTAAGCATGTATTTACCAATTTTATTTACACATGCAATGTGTAAAAAAGAAAATTTCATTTTTACATCATCTAAGAATGAATGAAAACAAATAATCAAAGTTCAAATTGTTAAAAATATAAACGTAAAAGGGGGGAAATCGTAATAATGAGACAGATGACATGTTAAGCCTAAAATAAAACGTTAACCAACAAAAATGAAATCCATCAAAATACTTTTATCGATCTGAAATGCTGTTATCTTAAAAAAAAACTATTAAGCTACTACATAATCTCGTATATATTTTCATTTGTCACATGAACAATGTAGCAATGTAACTTGGTATAATTTTAACTGGCCAGAATCCTGGATAAACTGAATCTGTTCGAGTTCAACAAAAAGGCCATTCTAAATCATGAAGTATTTGTATTATAACCAATTGCCAATTTTGTACGCTGACGCTAAACATGAACCACGGAGAACAGAAACCCGTCGTGCTATTAAAATTATATTTGTTACCGTAAATCCCATAGGCATGTTTGTCGAAGCAGGTCACTATTATGACATAGTCATTTTCTTTTCTTATATGAGTCTTGTACCCTGAAAAATAATAAACACCAAAAGCATCAACGCTGTTACATTAAATCAGTAAAAGTTCGCGTGTTTGATGATTTCACATGAACTTAGCTTTAGAGCAGAAGTTTTGACAGCCAAAGAGGGATTGATCAATTGATTTCTTGCGTATTGTCTGCTTTATTTCCAGTTATTGCTAATTATATAATCAATGCATTCATTGGGAAAGAACAAATTAACGATAAATGCAATAAATACAGGTCCTGAAAAGTGAGCCGACCCGGATGAAGAGCAGAAGAATTGACTGACAATGATAAAAACAGACTTTCAACATGCCACCTATATACACCTTCCTGCGCTGTTGCAATTTAACTTGTAATGTGCCACAATACATTGGACTTAACGTCTAAATTCAGACCAGACGTGACTGCGTATGCATACATCCCGCAGCCAAATAGAGCGCAACTTTTTTACATGAGGTTGGGAGAAGTTCGGTTTTATAACAATAATAAGCAGCGGCGCCAAGAGCGCATGATACACCCTTATTGTGCATATTGAATTGTTACAAGATAAAATGGGCTATTAAGAAAGCATTTTAATCGAAAACAAATAAAAAGGCTATGTAGAAAAAACATGCAGGATGACACAATTATAGTATAAGTATTGCATCAAATAATACTGTTAAAAGTCTCAAAACTCTGAGATGATAAACCAGCCAATTTTCAAAATCAAAAGCGAGTCTACATTCACCAATCCCAACTACAGTGTTTTTGGGTTCGTAAAAATTTGAACCAGCATACTAGAACTAGTGCATGACATTTAAAAAAATGCCTTTTATTCATCTAAGTCCAAGATGTATAAATCTGGTATGACATATAGGATTTTTTAAAATCAAACAGTGTGTTTAATTCACAAATTCCAACAATTATGTAAAGTTTCATATAAACCAATCCAAGCAAACTCAAGTTATGGTACAACATGTAAATATTTCAATTTAATCTGACAATTAAAGTCCAATAACTCTGGAACGACAAACAAGAAAAGAAAAAAAAATCGAAAGGGAGCTTCTGTTAAACAATCCGAATAATAATAAAAGTTTTGAGTAAATAAATCCAGGCATAATAGAGTTAGTGAAAGATATGTGAAAACTTGCCTTTATTCAAATGGTTGAAGTCCTATAACTCTAAAACGACACAACCAAAAATTGACAAAACCAAACGGCAGATTTCTTCCGTTAAGTCTAATGTTGTGTTAAATAACACGAAAAAAATAATTACAGCAAATTTGATTAATGGTACGATGTGTTGACGGAATGACGGACGGACATTAATGGTACGATGTGTTGACGGAATGACGGACGGACATTAATGGTACGATGTGTTGACGGAATGACGGACGGACATTAATGGTACGATGTGTTGACGGAATGACGGACGGACATAGGTATACAATAATACGTCACGACTGACTTATACAATCACAAAAGTCAAAACGAACTGACGACAGACGTCAAAGTCGTTCTAAAGTATGTAAAAAAGCGTTTCCATAACTTTAGGCAATTCAATTCAAGATCAGAAAGGTCCGATTTCAGTAAGGAAGACGTCGTTCCTGTTGTAACTTTTACATGTTCGATCGAAACCGAAGGTTTGGGAAGACCAAACATAAAACATTTAAATGTTCAAACCGACAAGGATCTAAATAGAATAACGAAATCATCTTAAGTCAGTTTTTGCTGATATAACATTAGTACAATTACATAACAACATACTTCACCAATAAAAAATAATACAACAAGAATGCATCATCAAGTGGAACATTTGGCGCGACAGTTAACATATATTTTTTGTTGAAAACTTATACACATAAGTAGTTTTGTGTCAACATTAATGCATCAACTTTGTCAGCATCAAATGTTGTTTTTCACACCCTTGTCCAGGATAGACCTATTACATAAACCTGGTGCATTGACACTAATGTGTATTTTCCCCCGTTACTTTGTTAGTGTGTTATTTTTATGCCTGTAAAGATCTGACGACTATGAATTTTGTTCAATCTAATAAACAAGGTAGTTGTAACCAATGAAATATCAAGGATTTTCAAAATGAGGAGAGAAGCCCAGCGATACATTCTGCGGGACAGCTCAAATCAGAAAATGTTCTAGAAAAAAACAAGTTTTTGGCACTTACTTTGTTTTAAATAAAACATGTGAAACTTGTTCTTTGATCAATTACAAACCTGTGACAGATGTCTAATTACAATAGATATTTGAACACTTTCAGTAGGAAAAGTATTAACAAAAAAACTGAACTTCAAGGTAAAATCAAAGAGGAGGAAGTCTTTAAAATCTGACAAAACCAAACTCTCGACTATATCAACAAAAAAGTTATCGTAGTTGATAGTACATACAGTTTAACAAATAAATCTGACAAAAAGGTTTAGAGGATAGAGACATTATAAAAACATGCATTCGTTATCCTTCGGAAGCTCATTCTTTCGTATCGCATGTAAAGCATCCTATTTTTGCATGAAATGTATGCATAGAAACAAGTAATGTCCACTAATATAAGTTAATTCTTTCAAATTATCGCCTATCTGTACAGGATAGAACAAATTCTATGAGATATGACTGACCTCTTGACTTTATTACATTTGATCACATGTCTATCCCATGTACCACTTCAAATGTTTTTCTTAAAAACGCCGTTTCATATTCCAGAAGTTGCTGATAAATATACTTCAATATTACAGACTTTTTTCCAAAGTCGGAAACTTTCATTTAAATTTATAAAATAAATTTAAACACTCAGTGACACTTTAACCATAGCCTTGAGATTAAAAATAGACAAAGACGTCACTAATAAAGGATACTTACAATCAAAAGCTAATTCTGAATGATAGCTCCCATCCATACAAAGCACAACAGTCCGTTCATTTTCACCAGCCATCCTTTTCCTATTGCAGTTATAAAACAGCTGATCCAGGTACGGTTATATCGTAAATGCGAGCTGTGACATCTATAAAAATACAAGTTACAAGGCTATAGATATTGATAAAATTCAGGTAATTTAGGAATGCATGTTTATATTTACGTATTGATAACCAGATACGAGATCAGCGAAGGCATGCAAATGACCACTTGTCTTGCTAGAAAAAAAATCATGTTGAGTAAATATGTTTTATTCCTTTATTTGAACAGGTTACGTCTAAGCTTCAAAAAGTGACCGAGTTCGATTAATTATATTGCATCATACTATGCTATCATATAAGGTACATAATGTGCCTTAAATTGTGTTATTATTCTGAAAATTAACAAAGCACTTAACTCGCTCTCGGAGAGCCTCGCTTTTCATAAGCTCATACAGATGCATTTTATGTTTTTCGACAATGTACATATATTGTAAATATGTTATGTCGAGAGCCAGGCGAAATAAAGAAGCAGGAGTTAACGGAGGAAGACCAAAATCAATTCCAATATATGCGATAAAGTTTTGATAATATAAACAGTAATAATACCATGAATGATAACTGATTTATAGAAAAATGCATGCAAGCAAAATCCATGACACTTCGAAGTGATAGTATTTTGATGAATAAGAAGATGGTTATAGCGAACGCGAACAGTCGGTGAAATGCACATAATAGGTAAGTACTTTATTTTCTAGGTATTTCTTGATATAAAAACAATATTGACCGTTACAGTTGTATCCTAATAATGGTACTTAATTAAGTCAAAATAATGCGCATCATTGAGCACAGAGTATTTTCAAAAAACTCAAATTTTATCAATGGAACTAAAATGACGTATATCGTCATTCCTGAGCAAAACTAAAAAAATGAAATGAAACTATTTTTCGCCCCGACTATTCGTCATTGAATACTATACATACATTTTATACAAACAACTTGTGACAAAGGACAACATCGTATTTAAAATTATCTATGAAGGTCAGAGATTGAAACTACGTTTTTTTCAAGCTATTAAAACATTAAATAAATGAAACGATTATTTGTTATAATTCATAAAACGAAAATGAATATTGACTTAACTTATTGAATTTTAGTCCGTCACTAATTATGTAATACTATTATTATATCTGACCTGTTAAAATGTATGAACCTGTCGGAGCATCAAGTGTCTGCTACAAAAACATGATATACAATAAAAAAATCAGTAATCATGTGTTTTAAATGTGCATAAGGCACAAAAACGAGGAAGGAAAAGGATACTCCGGAAACATATTATCTAAATGTAAATGGTATCGAGATGAATGGTAATATTTCATCAATAGTTCTTTACATCTAATACTTATAAACATTATTAATAAATGTATAGTTCTATTCATCGATATTTTAACAAAGTAAACACTCTTTTGAATACTTCACTTTTATTAGCTGCTCAGGTTCAATTAAAATCCTGATACCTCACCAAAGCTGTGCCGTTAGCAATCCATGAATATCATTCGATCTATCAAGGTTAGAAGTTAAAATACTATATTTTCCTTCATTTTGAGAATAAATTGATACATCAAGCAGGGTATAATTTCATTGTGACTTTTGTTTTTCAATTTAAAAGTTGTTTTTTTAAGTAGAAAAAAAGTGTTTTCTTGTGTCATGATCCTTTTATCGCAAACATGTTTGTTGTATTACAGAATGATGGTATACATTTGCCAATCGTTTAATTAAAACACAGTTTTTAAAGTATTTTCAGTTCATAGAAACATAAGCCAGAATCAGAGTAGGTCATACGACACTATGCCAATAGACGGTTAACGAAAGATCATGATAATTCTTTTGCCTCCTACTTTTCACATTCAATTCATATTGAAAAGCAGGTGTAAACCCAAAGGTAGCTTGGTATAGAAATATGGCTACCTACAAAATGTAGCAGTAAGACATTTACGAGGCAAGTCTGATTTGGATGCATAAATACGCCCCACGTCCAATATGTCGGGAATGAAAACACATGCTCTTGTTAGGAATTTGTTGCATTCCTTGTATTATAAACATGTTCGAGGACGCCCGTATGTTACCTGTTGTAAAGCGTCCTCGGGACTTACCCAATACCCTATTTTCAAATTATCCGCTTTTCCATCAGATCACCAATTTTACAGATCCTATTGGTAAATGAATGATATATTTTATTTTTTTCTTGATATAATGGTCATATGAATATTACGCCATAAAGATACTAACTACGAATAAAATTTGATTAATTATCAATTTGGCTAAAATTTGTTATTCTGAAAGGGGACTACTTTCGCACCATCAAGTAATTAATTTTATTAAAAGGACTTATAGAATTCCAAGATTTTACTATAGTATTGGAGGTACTAGTATTCTAAGGTGACAAGACCAAGCATTTTTTTTTTACATTATATGAAAATGGTACAATAAAAATGAAGGACACATTTTGATTACATCTGAAACTGCTTTCCTTTTAGCAAAACTCCGCCTAAATAGTTTTAGACAAAACTATGATAGTGCAACGATAATCTTTTTGTTAACTTGTCTAAAACATGTATCATTTAAATATTAGGCTTTATTGATAGTTAAATTTTCAAATATGTATCTAGCAAATTTACATTTCCATTCGCCTTTTAGACAAGTTCAGTTGATTTGTTATGTAAATATTGTCCACACAGTTGACGTTCGTCCTCATTGTACGTTTATATCAACCATAAACTATATTTAACGTCTGAAATGTAAAACAAAACGAAAAACAAAAACAAAAATATCCAATTCTGTTATAAAAATTTTATATGTTAATTTTTAAAAATTTACTTTGGATTTGATTTTGAATATCATCTTAAGATCCATGATTGTTTTTAGTTTCATAATTTTAAGTTCTAATGCCGAGTGTTATATTTATAACTTTTAGAATCCTCAACGCCAGTATATGGTATTGATTGTTATATGTATTGATTTGAATTATCTCCCTTTCTCCATGGTTCATGTACATGTATGATTATTGATGGGTTATTTCCCCTTATCGTTTCCCGCCTCACGATCAGTAATACATGTGTCTTCATAGCGATCATTTGTGTTTCTATTCTCTCTGCTTATTGGCGTGGTGGCAGCGGTCAAAAGCTTACCCAAAGCTCAAATAGTAAAGCTCTTGGACATTCTTCAATTAACGAAAAGGTAAGCAGGAGAATTTGTCATCTGAAACGAACACAGACAACATTTTCTATTGTTGGACTCATCGATCTGTGAAACATGGCAGGCACACTTACTCCAAAACAATAGGCACTCACAAAACAAGAAACTATTACCTCGTTCTAATCATGGAGACAAAACTTACAATATACATTATCCGTTGCGCAAAATTTTGCAGAATTTCTAGTGGATGGATTCATATGGCAGAAAAAAACCAACGCCCATCCTTTGCATGGATTTTCTGATAACGACAAGGCGGTTGCCCAAGCCAACAGACGAACAGCCGCCCAAAAGTGCACTCATTTAGACTTAATGTTGGAGCAAATAGCAAATTATTGCCCGATCATTTCAAGAAATACTATAATAAAAAATTCAACGTCTATCAATTCGATTTGGCAATCACTTCGTCTTCACTACGGATTTCAATCAACTGGTGGACACTTTCTAGACTTTAATAGCATCCATTTTGAACCCAATGCACGTCCAGAGGACTTATTTCAGCGGTTTTGCCAGTTTCACTGAGGGTAAATTACTTCGCGCCAGTTGTACTATACAGCACCATGGAGATGTTCCTGACCTTCTCTGGAAAGTCTGATTGTGCTTACTTGACTTAGACTTATTCATCGTGAATTGCCAAACTTAGTTAAACAGCGATATGGAACAGATCTGCAATCGAAAACTTTAGCTTCATTAAAACCTGAAATTTCGCAGGCACTCGATAGTTTACTGGATGAAATCCATTCGGCCGCCGACGCTAAGTTTTTACGTACATCTTTAAAGGACAAGAAGTGCAAGGAAGTCAGGTAATATCAGAAACTGCGTCAAACAAAGTGTTGTATTTTATGTAAGCAGGCAGGCCGTTCTTATCAACATTTTTTAAGTTCTTGTAAATACTTACCAGAAGAAGACAAACAATATATGTCCAGAGTTAGGCAATCTAATTGTACCGAAGTAGGTGATAGCGACTCTGAGGACGATTTTGATAATAATAAACAAGTATCAATTTTAAATGAAAATGTAGTACCTAGTAAGCTTAGAGTTGTTTCTTGTTTGATACGGGTGAGCACTAAACACCTTACTTTAAGGCATTTTACAAACATGTTCCCCACCAACTCACTCTAGATACCGGGGCTGAGGTTAGTATGATAAAGGCATCTTCCGAGGAGTACATAGGCGTTACGATTAAGAAATCAACCACTCCGCTTTACTAGCAGACTGCGTTACTCCGTTAGAAATAGTTGGTGAATGCCATTTCACACTTTCGAAGAACGTAGTAGATCTAGAACTTGAGGTACTAGTAGTTAACGACTTAGACGTAGACATTCTCGCCGGTATCCCTTTCATGCCATTGAATGACATTGCGATCTTTCCTAGCAAACATAAAATCGTTATACGCGGTCAGATTACCGTCAACTATGGTGGCTTAACGCGGGAGCACATATCTAGTAGAAATCGCGCGTACGTAGAACTCTGGCTTTTCTTCTCCGAGCTCCTTCTTCTAGTTCAGTAGTTTGGCCAGGTTGCTACGGCGAATACGAAGTCCAATCTGACATAGAACCGGATAGCATACTCGCGATCGAGCCTAATGTCGACCCGTCTCGTTCAAAAGATTGGCATAGTCCGCAATTTGCTCAATCACTCGCCGAAAAAATACGCCTTATGAATGATAAATCGGAGCCACAGTTCATACAACGAAATGAACATTTATGTCGAGTGCGGTTCACGACAACCGTCGATAAGTCCCCTGAGGCTCTTGTATACGTCCATGAAATCAATGAAAATACGTATATAGATCAAACGCATACCTCCCAATTTCCAAATCAAGTCTCTGTAGACCCCGATAATTTAGTCCAGTTATTAAAACCCAGTTTAAAGACCTTTTGCAGAAGTTCAGTGAGGTTTTTAGCGCAAATTTTAATAATTATATTACGTTGTTCGGCTGTGCCTTTTTTATGTGCTGATTGAGGATGTTTTAGGTATTCGTTTTTATTCTGTAGTTAGTCACCACTTCGGTGTTAATATGTATAACTATTATATAGTCATTTTTATACATTTACTGTTTGCAACATATTCGGGATACAATGTTCAAAATACATGGCAAGTTGTTACATTATAGTTCGTTTCTGTGTGTGTTACATTTTAATGTTGTCTTTTTGTTGTGTCGTTGTTCTCCTCTTATATTTGATGTGTTTCCCTCAGTTTTAGTTTGTAACCCGGATTTGTTTTTATCTCTATCGATTTATGAGTTTCGAACAGCGGTATACTACTGTTGCCTTTATGTATATACGTTTATCCTGTTAAATACGTCTATGTTTTAAACAGAATAAACAAGTAATTTTCTTCAATTTCTACAAATGTCCTACAACATGAGAACAAACTATAAACATCAGTTGAAAAGGGCTTAACATATCAGATTGATACAAAGCAGAAAAACATCAGACAAAAACTCAGGCCGTACGTGGTAGGGTGTTTATACATCCCTGACAAAAAGGCACAAGGTACAAATCTGAGAGTACTCGTAGTTACTGACAGCTAGTTCAAAGTCAAGAACAACTAATAAAAAATCATATATCTAAGACTAAAATATCAATCAGTACACATCCAATATGTAATGGATTTAGTGTACATACGTCATTAACAGTCAGAAAAAAAACATGACCTTGTGCAATGCCAAAATATAGGTATCGACAGATTGTAGTACCATGAATGTGTATGATAACATTTAGTGTGGTTTTAATTTACTGATAACAAAATCAATATTTATACCAATAAAACAATAATCAAAGATATAATCATAGTGTTGAATAGGTAACCTTTTAGAATAAGTTTATTTAAAGATTGTTAAGTTTACCCCTATCGTAAATAAATTTCCGGGCTTGGTAAACACATACATGCAGCATCACCGTAACAATTAGGCTGTTATATTCCGTTTGAAATAAGTTTTCAAGAAGGTACAGTCAACTTGGAAACCAAATCTTTTTATCTTTGGAAGAATTTATTAAAGGTTTTAAGTAATTTGTGGTAACGAAATTCTTTATTTAATAATTTAACAGTAATACATAGATTACGCTCATTGAAATCCGAAACGTCACTACAGACACGGGCATAGCGAACGAGTTAGGATATTTAAACACCGTAAGACGGTACAAAAGGAACATCACCGTCCGAAAAAGGAAAATTAACAATAGGGAAGGAAAATTCGTCCCTTTAGTCGTAAGTTTTTGTGAAGATTTTCTCGTGTAAAACTGAAATATATAAATCTAGAAAAGGACAGTTATTGCTGTTAATATTTGATTTATTTAAAGTAAGTTCCTTTGGGTAAATTTCGGCAGTATATTTTGAGAATTCTTGATTATTTAACGAAAACATATCGTCAAGAACACGGTAAGTGTTGTTGAATTTATCAATTAAATGGAATTTAGACGGGTCTTTACTGAGTTTGACCATACACTGTGATTCATAAAAGTACAGGAACAAGTCTGCTATTCAAGGGGCACAATAGGTGCCCATAGGAATACCTACAACCTGTCGATAAAATTTATTGCCGAAACGTACATCAATGGTATCAAGGAGAAAATTTTCAGCTTTAATCATCTAACCACACCTCAAGTAAGTATATCTTTTATATTTACCTTTCTCATTAGAGAAAAAGGCTTTATATGAGTTGCAGCAAATAAATTTGCAACCAGATTTTTCAAACGACCATTAAATAAAATAGGAAATCTTTTGTTTGACAAGATTGTATGGAAGTGTAGTATAAGGAGTGGAAAAGTCAAAACTGTCAACCAAATCAAAAGGACCATCAAAAGCACGTAATTTATGTAAAACATTCACACTCCAAAAGTAGTTAATTCCACCATTTTCATGTTTTATTACAAATTAATTCTTTAAAATCAGTTAAGGAACCAGGTAAAAGCACCGACAGATTAGTAGAAGAACACTTACTAGAGGCCGAGATGAACCTATGTTTTACGATTTGTTTTGTAGTTTATGTAACCAATAATTAGTGGGGACCTTCACATGTTCAGAGGGGGCCTTAAACTGAACTATAGTAGTGCCATTATTATTTACTATTAATAAAGCCCCAAACAACATCATTTTGGTGTGTAAATCAAATTACACAAACTGCTTGATAAATGAATTATGTATTGACAATTCACTTGGAAACTCAACATATGCCCCATAACACTTACCAAGGAGGAAATCCTGGATAATCATAGGTCTGTTCTATGTTCCTTTGGAATTTGAACCAAAAATGAAAAAAACTGGATCTTTTATCACTGTATTGGATACGTAAACTACATAAGTGTCCTTACAGACAACGTTATATTGCTGGGTCTTCCAAGTGCTCCACGAAACCTCTTTCTAAATTATTAACATCAATTTTATCAGCAATCAAAGCCGGGTTTCAAAATTATTGTGAAACTATCTATTCTAGATGTGGCGTGAATCAGATGTGGATACTAAAGAGTACATACAATCTAAGGCTCTTTCATCTTGCAATAGAATTAAAATATTTGACGTTTCTACATTTTACACAAGTATTCCCCATTCCAAACTAAAAGACAAGTTGAAAGAGTTGGTCCTGCTTTGTTTTATAAAAAAGAATGGCCAACGTAGATACAAGTATCTTGTCTTATGGAGGGATAAATCGTACTTTGTACAAATTCACTCTGATTCAAACAAAAAAAATCTCTGAAACTGACATTATCATGATGATTGATTTCTTGATTGACAACATATTTGTTACGTTTGGAGGACGTGTTTTTCAACAAACAATCGTCATTCCCATGGGAACCAACTGTGCTCCTCTTCTTGCCGGCTTGTTCCTTTATTCATGTGAGGTTGACTTCATACAAGAACTTCTTAGGAAGAAAGAAAAGAAGTTAGCAGTATCCTTTAACTTCACTTTCCGCTATATAGATGATGTTCTCTCACTAAATAATTCAAAATTTGGTGATTATGTTGAACGCATCTATCCCACCGAACATGAGATAAAGGATACAACTTATACAGTTAAATCTGCCGCATATATTGACTTACATCTAGAAATTGACAATGAGGGTCGGTGGAAAGTTTAAATCATCCCTTCGTAAATTTTACGGATGGCATCACGAGTTGGTTGACCGTTATGGAATATATGTTTAACAGATGAAAACAAATATGTTCCAATTGTCGTAACTACAATCCAGCCCCTTTTCCCTTGAATGTGACCTACCGAATTAGACTTATCACAGGGTTTGTACTAACATGAGCAACACCACGGGTACCACGTGTGAAGCAGGATCTGCTTATCCTTCCTGAGCACTTGAGATCACACCGAATTTTTGGTGGGGTTCTTTTTGCTCAGTCTTTAGTTTTCTATGTTGTGTTCTGTGTTCTGTTTGGTTGGTCTTTTTCCTTTTTAGCCATGGCGTTGTCAGTTTATTTTCGAAATATTAGTTTGAATGTTTCTTTGGTATCTTTCGCCTCTCTTTTGAGACTCTTTGTGGGGCGTACGGCCGTGCATGTATTTGAATGTATAATTTTCGAAACGTGTTATGCGAATATCAACAGTATTCAGACATTTATTTAAAAAGGAATCGAGTGACTTTTTGTCAGATTTCTCCCGTTTACACCAAGTTTTTACAATAGGATGAAAGAGCATCTTTAATGACCTGACGACACACTTTCCAAGTTATTTTCGACGGTGGACGATATTTTGGGTCTTTTTTTCAGCAAGTTTATAACCTCGCGTTCTGGAACGATGTTGAGGTCCTCTGTAATTACATGAAAATAGGGATCATATCTGCCTCATAGTTTTTCTTGCATTTAGGAATTGACAAGAACGGTCAGTTGATAACAAAACGTTACGACAAACTACTTTTCCATTTATAAGTAGCAACATCCCAGAAGCGCCTGCATATGGAGTATACATCACCCAGTTGATTCGATATTTCAGCGCTTGCGTTCCCTACCATGATTTCCTTTGATAGAGAGTTGCTATTTACAAGGAAGCTATTGTACCAAGGGTTCCAAGTGGTAAAGTTAAAGTCATCCCTTCGAAAGCTAACTATAAAACCAGGTTTAACCCACCAAGTCAGGAGAATGACAGTTGTTTTCCATTCGTTTTGTTGGTTGATAAAGTCGAGTGTATGGTTTTGTCAGGTTTTATGGATTTCCTCCTTTTCTAATATACCTTGGAGTTCGGTATTTTTTGTTAATACTTTTTTTTCGAAAATTTAATAGACACAATCACGAGTTGGCTGACCGCTATGGAATAACTGTGTCACAGTGACGAAGGTTGTTCTGATAAAACTATGTAACTTATTTCTATTCATGCAGTACTGATGTTGTTCCAAAATAGTATAAGGACAAAGGAATAAGTTGATGCCAAACGGATAACGCAATGGCAAAAATAGAAGAAAAAAAATGGCCAAAGGAAAAACAACAGAAAACAACCCATATATCGCTTGAATACGTCAGACACATTTAATGTTTGGTACAGGAGTTTGATAGGTCAACCAATCGAGTATGGAAGAGGCTACATATTAAGCACATCGTCCAGTGCATATACTGTTCTAGGAAAAACATAAACCGAATAAAATTGAGTTGTTATCTCGATGTTAAAATGCAATTTAAGACTTTAGAAACATGAAGATTTTATTCCATGTGACAACTTTCTCGGAGGAGTCGGAGGTTGATGGTCGGTATGCTTTGGTGTAATTTCTAATATAATTGGTGAATCCTTGTAATCATTTTATGTATCATAGACAACAAACTAACTGACTTATTGTAATAGATGGTTTTAATGCTTTCTTCCATGTACACAGAGTATATTAAATGGCGTGCCCCTAACAAGTACAACTAATAAGTTATACATTTAAACAATAAATGAAGGATAGTACATTAAAAATACTTATAGGCAAAGTACCTTGAACTATTTCGCAGTAGTTGAGAATACATTAACAAGAGTATCGGAAGGTGTCTGTCTATTTTGTACTTACAAAATGATGTCAAAAAATTTCTTTTCAAAAGTTGAATCCCCTTATCTAACTTGCTTCAATTAACACTTTTTGAAACTAAATTAATACCTCTTTTTCTGTACAGGAAATTAATAAGAGTTGTAAATAAATACAAATACTGAAAACATATTTTTAACAAGCTATTAATAAAACGTCAAAAAAGTTTATCTTTCATAATCCTAAATCTGATTAAAATGAGTAAAACAAGGCATAGTCATGTTTAAATGTACATCGAGCATGACATGAAAGACAACTCTGAGAGCAGAGATACACTTTAAACCACCGGATACCCTTAGACATCTGGTTTTGGGATTACCTCTGCAATTCAAACTGTCTATATATTTTAAATAAACAATCACCGATGTAATGATTGACCCTGAGCTCTCAGAAAAATGATTAATAACTTGATGAAGATTGCACAGTTGAAGACAAAACTACCCTATCAGTGATGTTTATTATGGTGCTCATTGGCTGGGTCGTGGTGGCTTTTGTTCCTACAAACTACAACAGGAATAATTGAATGGTGGACGATGTAACTACTGATGCTACCCATGATGGTCCTTCGTAGTGCACCATGACCTCGTGACCCGCAAATTATCATACTAGCGTTCCTCTCGGATGCCACATGAACCACAACTTCTCCTGGTTTTCCTGCACTGGCCACAACATCTCCTTTTACCTAGAATAAAGATTTTCATCAAATTTCTATGATTGTATTCATTAAGGTTTCGGCGAAGTCAATGCAAATAAAATAATGCGAATCACAATATAGAATACGTGAACCAAAATCCAGTTTCTGCATCAAGACATATTTGAGGTCAGTTCTATACTTGGAACTGTTTCATTACTACACAGAGGAACGTATGATAGAATTTTCGTGCGCACAACACATATTTCCGGAATAACCTCATGACAATAGGTTAGTAAAGGCTCCTCCTCGCCCAAAAAATAAATATATTATTGAAATTTGTACTATACAATTATAGCCTTTGTATGAGGTCGATACGAGGTTGTATCGACCATAGAGAAGCATATGGAATGAGGACGAAGTCCGAAGTCGATATGCTTCTCTAGGTCGATATAACATCGTATTGACCTCAACCAAAGGCTACAATTGTTATATTATTAATCAACAACTAATGCATGAAAAATGTAAAACTGGGGATTTCTAGAATGTATTTTTCAATCACAACAGTATTGGCGTGCAAACTGAGTAAATACAAATGTACATGTGTTAAAGTTTTAACGAATCACAAATCCTTAAAAATATTCGATTAATAATATTACAGGATAACATATATATATATATATATATATACTTGTTAATAGATCTTTATCTAGTCTACCTCGTGGATACGAACCCATAAAATGATACGTGTTATGAATATTATATATATACATCGTAATTAAATCAAAAGCGTTAAGAACCTACCCCAGCCAATCTTAATTTCTCTTTAAATTCATCTGCTTGAGATTTATGAGAATCTATATCTGCTTGTAGTTTAGTTGTAGTCTCATGCACGTCACCACTTCCTAAAATTGAAAATCAACGTAAGTTTTCATATAATCAAGCTGTACTTGTTACATTACATGACAGCAGAATGATCTAGAACCACAGTCCTTTTCCAAATAAACAAAAGTAGGCAAGAACCACAAAGTTTATAACAAATAGATGCGAAAATATAAAGTAACATAGTCGTTTCATACCAAGATTTATGACGAATAGGACGAATTGCCTTTTCTTACAGTACTGTTAATTTTCTTTTACTTGATGGAATGTTTCGTTGGGTTCTGCTTATGAAATGTACAAGCATACAGTTTTGGACAGTTCTATCATTGAACAGATTATGGCAGTTCTACCAAGAACACAGTGTAACTACTGGAACATAAGTTGATGACCTTTCTGGATCACCTAAGGTATTTTGGTGGAGTTCGTGTTGCTCAACCTTTAAAATTATAGTTTAATGCGGACTGTTGGTCTTATTGTCGTTTTTCTCTTTTGGCCAAAGTGTTGTCTGTTATCATATAATTTATGGTTCTTGATTTCTCACTTAGTATCTCCTCTCTCTTTCTTCTTACGAAAGCGTTGACTTGTTACAGTACACGAAAAATAAATAAAACATACGTCTAAAAAAGTGTAATTATATCTTTGAGTCTTATTTTTATTGGTATAAATATTGATTTAGTAATCAGTAAATTTAAACTTAAACAATATCATTGTTAAATACATATGCACATTCACGGTTCTACAATCTGTCGATACCTGTATTTTGACATTGCACAAGGTCATGTTTTTTTCCGACTGTTAATGATGTCTTTACACTAAATCCATTACATATTGGATGTGTACTGATTGATATTTTAGTCTTAGATATATGATTTTTCTTTTATTAAGTTGTTATTGACTTTGAAAAGCTGTCAGTAACTGCGAGTACTCTCAGATCTGTACTTAGTGTCTTTTTTGTTGTGGGGATGTATAAATACCCTGCCACGTCCGGTCTGTCTTTTTGTTACTTGTTTTTCTGCTTTGTATCGATCTAATGAGGTAAGCCCTTTTCAACTGATTTTTATAGATTGTTCATATGTTGTGCAGTTACACCACCGTCTCAGGTTAGGGTGAGGGTTTGGGCGCCCGCAAACATGTATAATCCCGCCACATTCTGTATGCCTGTCCCAAGTTAGGAGCCTGTCATTCAGTGGTTGTCGTTTGTTGCTGTACATCATATTTGCATTTCGTTCATGATTTGTTCATAAATCAGGCCATTAGTTTTCTCGTTTGAATTGTTTTACATTTGACATTTCGGGGCCTTTTATAGCTGACTAGGGGGCCTCGGTCGCCGAGTGGTCTAAGTAGTTACTACTGTAATCACTAGCCAGTCAACACTGAGGTTGTGAGTTCGAACCCCACTCGTGCGGGTGCACTCGACTGCAATCTTAATTGATTAGGATTGTCAGTTTTCCTATCGAAGGTCGGTGGTTTTCTCCGGACACTCCGGCTTCCTCCATCAATAAAAACTGGCCGCCACGAAATAGCCCAAAAGCGGTGCTTAAAAGTGGCGTTAAAACACCAAAAATCAAAAATCAAATTTATAGCTGACTATGCGGTAAGGGTTTTGCTCATTGTTGAAGGCCGTATGGTGACCTATAGTTGTTAACTTCAATGTCATTTGGTCTCTTGTGGAGAGTTGTCTCATTGGTAATCATACCACATCTTCTTATTTTTATAACATCATAAAAAAGAGTAAAAATGGTACATATTCCTGATCAAATTCCATTCCTATGTAAAATACAGTCGATTTTGTGACGAATTGTGTAAGCGTACATGATTCTTGTTCTCAATCTGAACGTCACTATTTTAAATTCGTATCACTAAAATGTTACAAGGTAAACATACTCCGTGTCAAGTCCTATCCATCCTTGTCATACTATTGGCTATAAACATGACGTCTGTATTAAATCACTTCTCACCATATCCGTGATGAGGTCCATGATGATTGTCAAAACAAGTCAATGACATGGTAACCACATTGTCTATTTAAAATTTACTCACAATGTCCGTGATGATGTCGATGATGTTTATCAAACAAGTCACAATAATAACATTGCCTTTTTAATGATGATGTTTGTCAAACAAGTCACGATAAATACATTGTCTATTAAATGATTACTTACCATGTCCGTGATGATGTCCATGATGTTTGTCAAACAAGTCACAATAATTACATTGTTTATTAAATGATTACTTACCATGTCCGTGATGATGTCCATGATGTTTGTCAAAACAAGTCACAATAATTACATTGTCTATTAAATGATTACTACCATGTCCGTGATGATGTCCATGATGTTTGTCAAAACAAGTCACAATAATTACATTGTCTATTAAATGATTACTTACCATGTCCGTGATGATGTCCATGATGTTTGTCAAACAAGTCACAATAATTACATTGTTTATTAAATGATTACTTACCATGTCCGTGATGATGTCCATGATGTTTGTCAAAACAAGTCACAATAACAACATTGTCACCATCTCGTTTGCTATTATTCAAATACCCTGAAATAAAGATAAATGTTTTTAATATCAAAATCCTATTTTCGGTACCATATGAAGGGTAAAGAGTTGACTGATCTTTGCATACCTAGCGTCCAATGAACAATATTACACTCTTCCTTGTTAAACAACAAGTTTAACTATTAAGTTCTGGAAAATGGAAAGGGTGCCTGCCTGTGAATAACAATAAAAGGCACAATTTTTTATTTGACTATCTTTAAATGAAATGGAGTTCTCAACATGTAACTAAATTCTTCTTTTGCAGAAAGTCCAGTATTTGGAAAATTGTTTTGACACACAAAAATTACATTTTGCTGTATATCTAAACACTATTGTGTTGTTAATCTATTGATTTTTATATAGCAATGCAAATACTGATAAACTGTTTGCAAATACAGGCCACGTCTGGTCTGCGTTTTTGTTAGTTGTTTTTCTGCTTTGTATCGATCTGATGAGTTAAAAGCCCTTTTCAACTGTTTTTTTTTATAGTTTGTTCCGTTGTACTGTTACACCACTGTCCTAGATTAGGGGTAGGGTTGGTGCCTTCGAACATGTTTAACCCCGGCATATTTTGTATGTGCCTTTAGTTTAGTGGTTGTCTTTGGTTCATGTCTGTCATATTTGTTATTCGTGAATTATTTTGTTTAGGCCGTTAGTTTTCTCAATTGAGATGTTTTATATTTTTCATTTCGGGGCCTTTTATATCCGACTATAAGGCATATCATTGTTTAAGGCCGTACGGTTGCCTATGATTGCTTAAGTCCAATGCATTTGAACTTTGGTGGATAGTTGTCTCATTGGCAATCATACCACATCTCCTTATCTTTATATTTATTGACTATTCAGTCAAAGAGAGATAATCTGAAAATTAATCCTATATGTTTATCACAAGGCAGTAAGCATACATATATAACATATAATTATTGACATCATTCTGATATTTAAAAAAGAAGTAAACTCAATTTCAAGCAAATTACATGTACAAGATATCAGAATGATGTTCCTAAATTCACAGTCATTTTCATGTTGGTATGTTAGTCAAATGCATGAACGTAATTGGGTCAAAACTCGTATATTATATGTTACTGTTCATCATTTATTACCAAATTGTACAAGCTTCAAGGATTGCACCTATGGATTAGCTGGGGTATAGAAATATGGTCAGCCCTGAACTTCACCCGTCCGACAGTAAACCACTTGCTTACCGTTTATGTTATTGCTTATAGTCGTTTGGCTGTGTGGGATGTATAAATACGCTGTCACGTCGGGTCTGAATGGGACGTTAATGCCATGCCTCATGTAGAGACAGTAACACACTCTCTGCACGTTAAAATACCCTTTCAACAATTCTCCGAGGAACCGTAGTTGGCTTATCCAACATACCCTCATTTTCCAGCAGCAGTCCAAATTATTTACTGCAGGACCTTTCATTCAGGTCGACTTAAATTTTCTAAGTAAAATGGCTCATTTTAAAGGAACTTTGCCGTATTTTGGTCTAAAGAAGAATAACTGGAACAAAGCTCCCACAAACTTACAACAATAATATAAATTATAATTGTAACAGTTTATATATATATATATAAAACGTCTAGATATTAGTCAACGATCTTTCTTACGAGGGCGCTGGGTCGTTACGAGTAACGATACCTGTACACAATAAACAAATTATATATACGTCTAAAAAGTGTTCAAAACAACACCAATATTAAGAAGAGGAAACATTCAATATAAGTATCTATAAACATTTCGGATAACAGAAATCCTTCATCAGTATGATTATAAAGATGGAAAATGAATCATATCAATCTATTCTGATTTAATCATAACAATCTTTACAGTTATACAATAAAAAATCGAACAACGCTTGTATAATTCTAAATTCAAAAAATTTCAAAGAACAGAAATGTGCGATATGAACTGGTACAATCCTAACATTTCACAGGTGACGAAAGTTAAGTTATAAACAGAGACTGCATAGATATACATTCCTAATGAATAGCATTTACCGATTTGAACTGGTATAGTACTAAAATTTCAAATTTGACGACGGTAAAGTAATTACAACAGAGGCTGCGTATTTACACATCCCAAATAAATAGCAGTTTGATTTGAGCTGGTATAATTTTTAAATTTTAATTTAGAAAAAGGTTAAGCAATTACACCGTGGCTGCGTATTTATCTATCCCAAAATGAACAGCACCCTGCGATTTAAACTGATTTAAATTCTAGAATTTTAGAGTTGACAAAGGTAAAGAAATAGCAACAGAGACTGCGTAGTTATACAATCCAAATGAAAAGCACTGCGCGAATTAGAACTACACCTTTTCATTGATCCCATTTGTGTCAACGTTTTTGATTGTCTTATCCAAAATCTTTCCCGAGTGAGTCTAAACCAAGCAGTGTTGTGGTCTATGATGGTATAGTCAGTCGATTGAGGTCTGCCTTAGTGTGGCCAGGGGATCTCAAATGTCGACTGAGATGGCCGTTCATACGTTTGTGAAATGGCTGTTCTGACTCACCAACATACTGTTTACCACATTTACACTGTAGCAGATACACATCATTTGTAGTCTTGCAATTAACATTGCAAAATATGGTGTATTCCGTACCAGTGGAGTGACTGTTAAAAGTCTGGGTATTTAGTATTTGCTTGCAAGTCAGACATCGTTTGTTTCCACACCCCTTAAAAGAGTCCACTGACGAAGAGCCGATTTAGAGGATAAATCAGCTCTCACCAGCAAGTCTTTAAGGCTATATAGTGTCTAAAAATAGCAATATATATAACTTATATAATCTCATATACATGACTACAATTACATACTATTCTGACGTTCTAAATTATATACCAAAGAAGTTTAATTTACCCAAATAGGACATCAACTCACCAGTACAAAAATCATTCTTGAAAAAAAATGTATTGATCGCATGCAAAATTGGAATAAAAAATAATTGGTCAAAACAAGTTCAAACTTGTGAAAGCAGCTAAGTTTACACATTCAAGTCCTCAACTATCGGTTGAAAGGAAAATTAACGATACGTGTAGTAGTTTTGTGTAGCAAGACTCGATAACAGACCTTATATAGAGGGTTGGCGCGCCTTCAAACTTGTTTAACCCCGCCACATTCTGTATGTGCCTGTCCCAAGTCAGGAGCCTGTAATTCAGTGGTTGTCGTTTGTTGCTGTATATATCATATTTGTTTTTCGTTCATTATTTTGTACATAAATCAGGCCGTTAGTTTTCTTGTTTGAATTGTTTCACATTTGTCATTTCGGAGCCTATTATAGCTGACTATGCGGTATGGGTTTTACTCATTGTTGAAGGCCGTACGATGACCTATAGTTGTTAATTTCTGTGTCATTTGGGCGTGTTTTTTTTGTTCTTTGGTAGTGAGCCAGAAGAGGTCCATTTATGTTTTTTTTTGCATTGGGAAGATCTTCTGGCTCTCTTCTACCTCTTTCTTTTAAATAGGTTGTTTAGACGGCAGAGACACAAAACAAACATGGCGTCGCTTAGTCAAAATGATAATAATAAATTTATGAATGGAGATATATTAAAATGTGAGCTGTGTGATAACCGTTTTAATGGTATGGCAGCCTTAGTAGGACATCCCTGTAGGACAATAAGCTGGGTAAATATAAAAACGACACGGACAATAACAGCCAAGGGACGCCTATTTGATACTCTGGGGAGGGGGAGGGGGAAGGAGGATTTTTTTCGGATTTATTATTCATTTTAATCTGCCGCTTATCATTCCTATATTTTTTCAACTCTTACTGACCCGCCCACCATAATCTTATCTAAAGTCCTCTTATCCCCCTTAAAAAATCCCCTTATTTAACACAAGTTTAAATTGATTGATTGTTGCTTGCTTATATTTAACGTCTAGTGGCAAATAGTTCATGCATGTTCAGGAAAACTTCGCACGTGTTTAAAAATCAGGTATATAATATCAAAATAAGGAGAAGTGGTATGATTGCTACCGGATTTCAAATGAAGTGGATGTAAGCAAATATAGGCAACCGTACGTCCTTCAACAAAGTAAAAACCCCATACCGTATAGTCGGCTAGAAAAGGCCCCGACATGAAAAATGTGAAATCATTGAAACGAAAAAAAAACTAGCGGCCTTATTATATATATATATATATATATATATATATAAACGTGTCTAAATTGAAAACAACATTCAAACCTATGATTGCCTTGGATAAAAACCGCAATTTTTATACGTGTGCATGTAAAACAAATTTCTTGGTAGAGGGGTCTAAATCCAGCACAAACAACATGTTCCAAAAGACCAAAAAAATGAAAAGTATATTTTAACAAAACGCATTTGACTAACAGGTCGAACAACTGATGTTCTTAAACCCTGCTGACTGCCATTGACGATTGCCAAATAAATTGATCACCAGATGTAACATGGATCTTATATTTAATTTAATAATAAACAGAAAACAATAAACTTGCGGAGAAGATGGTATACCGCAAACATGAGGTGCAAAATTTGTACACCATATCCGGATTTTGACAATTAATGTCTCTTCAGCGATGTTAGGGATCGAAACGGTATTTGGAAGGCCATATAATTTACCTCAATTAAGGATAGACTCTTGAATTTTAAAGAGTCGAAATAGGATGAACGGATCATATAAGCCCGAAGGAAAATATAATACAAGCCCAAACGAAAAAATATAAATGTGTCTAAATTGAAAACAACGTTCAAACCTATGATTGCCTTGAATAAAAACCGAAATTTTTATACGTGTGCATGTAAAACAAATTTCTTGGTAGAGGGGTCTAAATCCAGCACAAACAACATTTTCCAAAAGACCAAATAAGTGAAAAGTATATTTTAACAAAACGCATTTGACTAACAGGTCGAACAACTGATGTTCTTAAACCCTGCTGACTGCCATTGACGATTGCCAAATAAATTGATCACCAGATGTAACATGGATCTTATATTTAATTTAATACCAAACAGAAAACAATAAACTTGCGGAG